TGGGGAGAGGGAGGGAGAGGAAGAGGTCGAGGGGAAGGGGAGGAGGAGATGGGGAGAAGGAGAGATGGGGAGAGGGAGGGAGAGGAGAAGATAGAGGGGAAGGTGAGGAGAAGCTGTAGGGCGACAGGGAAGGGAAGAATGTGAGAGAGAGGGAGAGCGGGAGAGGAAAGGAGAGAGAGGGGAAAGCGAGGGGGAGATAGAGGGGAGGGTAGTGTGGGGGAGAGTGAGACTTGAAAGAGAGTGAGAGGGGACAGAGAGGGAGAGAGAGAGAGAGAAAATAGCTAGAGGAAGAGAGAGAAAGAGCGAGAGAGAGAGAGAGAGAGAGAGAGAAAGATAAATAGCTAGAGAGAGAGGGAGGGAAAGAGAATGAGAGGTAGGGTAGAGAGGGAAAGAGAAAATAGTTCCTGGAGGTGGGGCGGCGATACATTTAGACCTGCGAGTGAGTGTGTGTGTGTGTGTGTGTGTGTGCGTGCGTGCGTGCGTGCGTGCGTGCGTGTGTGTGTGTGTGTGTGTGTGTTTGTGTGTGAGTGTGTGCGTGTGTGTGTGTGTGTGAGTGTGTGCGTGTTGGGTTTATCAAAGATTTATCACTTTCACGTTTTAAACATGTTTCATTCGCGAAGAGTTACCAGTCAACGATCATAGACGGACGCCAGCGTCGCAGCCTCGCCCACGGTTTTCTGTTATAAACTGACACGTGTACGTACAGGAGCTCGTCATGTTGACATCTATAATCTTGTTAAGACGCCATGCAGCTACCGTTTAACAATGCGAATATGATTTTATGCGTGTATGATTTTATCGAATGTCTTCGTGTTTTTCTTTTTGTTTTGCGTAGTTATCGAAGAACATTTTCGTTCGTTAGCGGACTGACGCTTGGCATAAAAATATAAAACTCTGACACATCAGCAAACGTTACACGCATGAACGATAAATTATCAACGCTCCGTGTGTTGGCAGAGGCTTAAGCTTCCCGCCCTCTGACACGCCGCGTGTCTCGACAGCAAGTTGAAATCGCACGTCCGCGCTCTCGATGCTCAGGCGATAGTGACAACTCTATGCTAAACGGCTTAGCCGTGAATGCTATGAAACGCCATTTTTGTTCTAAACAATCTTCCGTGCATGATCGATTCACTGCTCGCATGAGCAGTGACTCGATCATGCACGGAAGAATGTAAGGAGTACGGAAGGATGTACTAACACGCACGCACACGCGAGCGCGCACCCTCACACGCGCGCGCACGCCCGCTCTTTATGTTACATATCAGATATTGTCGCTAGGTCTGTGATGATTGACTATATACTTTATACATATTATTCACGCCTTCAACGCGTTGACTATGCATTACTTCGTGACCAAGCATTGTCTTTAGGAACGCTTCTGTTACAGCGTCGCTGATTGGTCGGAGCTGTAAATCAATCACCCCAGGGCTGCTCGGTGAATGAGCACAGATTCATTTTTTCTCGTGAATAAAGATTGAATAGTGTACGCTTAATTACGCCGGCCATACGTAATTACTACATTCCATCACTGATTACAATTACGGAGAGAACTAACACCTGCTAGTCCACTGGTTTTTAAGATAGGATAACCGTGCATGGTGTTATTATTATTTTTATTATTATTATTATTGTTGTTGTTGTT